ATATATAGATATACAGATATAGATAGGACTATAGAGAGTTTACCAAAATGCTGTATTAACATCTTTTATATATATTTAATAATGACATCTAGCAGCAGGTGTAATAAGTACTGACATTTTCAAATAGTATAATGATAAACAACATCTGAGATTTCTAAGACTAGTGGGATATGAAAATAGCTGTGGTGTTCATTAGGGATAGTGACATGCACTGCTAGTACTGTTGGGGTTTTGCTCACACTCAGACTTGGAAGAAATGCTAAGTTTCAATAAGAAGTTAATAAAAATAAAGATCTTTTTTTCCTAGCCCATATTCCAGGACTCTCGCCCTTCACCCCCGCAAAAGGTCTGGAAGTCCCAAGTGGAGAATCCCTGGATTAGGCTCATCAAGTGTGCAAATCACCCAATGGATGACTTGGCAGGGAGCCAGAAAAAAGAGCCTAAATTATCTCAGAGGCTTGGAAGGATGACCTACAACCACCAAGAAAACATTTAACAAAGGGTTTAAATTTGGTTGGAAGGGAAAAAAAAAAATTCAATTGCAAGTATTAGAAAAGGCAGACCCATCTTGTGAAATAAAGACCCAGGGGTCATGGGTGATGATATTCACAAAATAAGCCAGCAGGTTGATGAGGATAACAATAAAGATAATTTAAGCTTAGGTTGAATTCATAGACCCTTAGGGTCCAGGACAAAGATCTAAGAGTCCTGCTGAAATCTGCATAAGGTCAGTCCACTGTGAACCACAATCTAAGGTGGGCACTAACAGGCTGAGGTTTTAGAAGCCAGAACCCAGAATGGTTAGAGATAGGAGCCATGCTATGAGCCAAGACCTCCAGTCTCTGAGCTCAGAACTCAAGATCTAGAGGAGCAATTTTCAACCTTTTTCATCTCATGACACATAAATTAATTACTAAAATTCTGCAGCTTACCAAAAAATATGTTTCCTGTTCATCTGACAAAAAAATAGGTATAATTTTGATTTACTCAACATAGGACAGCTATTGTGGTATTGGCTGTTTTCATTTTTTTAATTTGACAGTCTAAGGGAGAAAAGGTCAGTGTCCCTGACTAAATAGATATTGACTAATTTAAAAATTCTTGTGTCACACTGGTTAAGAATTGCTGCTCTAGACATGTATAAGCAACTTGAACTCATGTGCATTTTGTCTTGGCGTGTTCAAACTTCCTCCTCCCCAACTGTTTCCTGACTAAATGGCAGCATCGTCCACTCTGCTGCACACACCAGAAACCCGGGGTCACCTATTCTCCCCTCCCAAATCCAGTCTATGACCAGGTCTGTGATTTTGCTTCCCAAATTTCCCTTCAATTTGCCATTTCTCCCTCCATCACCCCCTGGCACGCACTACCTCCCTGTTGCCTGGACTACAACAATGGTCTTCCAGGATCTGTCTTGTTCCTCTCTGGTTTTTCAGCTCCGCAGCCACATTGATCTTGAAAACACATAAATCTGATAACTTTCCTTTGTTTCAACCCCTTTCATGGTTTCCCACAGACTTTGGAATAAGAACAAAATCTTCTTGGCCAACTTTGGCCCCCCATTTCCAGGGTGAGTCTTTCCCCTCTCCTTTATGCACCACTGGCCTTTCAGTTCTGCCCACTGGCCTCAGTCCCTCCTACCACATGGCCTTTGTAGTATGATGTTGCCCACCTCGAACACAGCTCCCTGCTGTCTGACTTAGTAATGCCTGATTGTCCTTTAGCAAGTTGTCCTTGACTTGCCTGACCACATCAAACCCCCTGTTGATGCTTTCAGAGCAATAGGACTCTCTTCTCTGTAGCACTTACTATAGCTTTTTTTTTTAAAGAAAATAATATATTTTTAATAGACTTTATTTATTTATTTTTAGAGAGAAGGGAGGGAGAAAGAGAGGGAGAGAAACGTCTATGTGTGGTTGCCTGTTATGTGCTCCCCAACAATGGGGACCCGACCTACAACCCCAGGCATGTGCCCTGACTGGAAATCAAACTGGCAACCCTTTGCTTTGCAGGCCGGCACTCAACGCACTGAGCCATACCAGCCAGGGCTTAAGAAAATATTAATTACTGAATACCTACTATGTGCTACATACCATACTTCTTACATATTATGTCTTATTTAATGTTCCCAACACATGAAATAGCTAAAATTATTGCCATTTCACAGAGAAGAAAACTTCTCTTCCAGGTTGAGCCACATACCCAGGGCGGCACATCTGTAGAGGGCTGGCTGCTCAGAAGCAGCCTGTGTGGGCTCCTGGATCTCTGCTCTTTCTCCAGGATGTTGCCAGAGGGGAGGCCAGGAACTCGATATCACAGCAAGTTGTGGAGTACAGTCTTGATACCCTTAAGTCAGGGAGCTCCTTCTACAAATCAGCTCCTAGGGGCCCAGACTGATTTTCTTCCTAAAGACCAGTTCCAGAAACTCAGCCTGCTCAGTTCCTGCCATGGACCCCTTGCCTTCATCCACTGCATCCCTTCGAGCAGGCATCTTGAAGAGAACTCTGTGATGAGGACATGGTCTGTACTGGCACTGTCTAATAGGTAACCACTACTGAGTCCCTTGAAATTGGCTACTGTGACTGAAGACCTACATTTAAAAAAAAAAAAGATTCTATTTATTTATTTTTTGAGAGAAGGGAAGGGAGGGAGAGAGGGAGAGAAACATCGATCAGCTGACTCTCACAGGACCCCAACCAGAGACCTGGCGCAAAACCCAGGCATGCACCCCAACCAGGAATTGAATCTTTGCCTTGTGGGATGACACCCAACCAACTGAGCTACTCTGGTCAGGGCAGGAACTGAAATTTAGATGTTGTTTTAATTTAAATATAAATACCTACAGGTGGCTAGCGTAGCCTCAGAGTTTTCCCTACATTGCGGAGAACTGTGGCCTGATCTGCTGAGTTCTCCCTTGCTTGTTTCCATCAAAATGAGGCATATGACCTATCTGAGTTTTACACACACATAAAACCTCCTTACAGCCCTGTTTGGTGTGGCTCAGTGGATTGAGCGCCGGCTTGCGATCTGAAAGGTAGTGGGTTTTAGTCCCAGTCAGGGCACATGCCTGGTTCGGGCCAGGTCTCCATGCACATCGATGTTTCTCTCCCTCTTTCTTCCTCCCTTTCCCTCTCTGAGAATAAAATCTTCTTTAAAAAACAAAAACAAAAACGTCTTTACAAAAATGGGATTGGGCTAGTTATACCATTTTGTAATCTGCTTTTCTTCCCCTCATGACAGGTTGTATGTAGCTCAGGTCACACAGTGACCTCCACTCTAAGTGCTGCCCAGTATTTGATATGTTGCAATGATTTACGTTTTATCTAACCAACTCTCAATGATAGACACTTGGGCTGCTTCCATTGTTTTCATAATACAACAGCAATAAACATCTTCACAGGTATGTCTCTGTACCCAGGTGGAAGAATTTCAGTATGGTACATTCCTAAAGGGGAAGTTGCTAGGTCAAAGAGTAGTCACATTAAAATCATTGGTATGTACTGCCAAACTGCTCTTAAAAAAATGCCTGTGTCAACTTTTAACAAAAGTATATCCGTATGCTCATATGCTCGTCTGCGTCAAGGGTAACATTAAGGTGGTCAATCCTTAATTATTTTTTAATTGGATGTGTTATTGTTTCTTTAATTCACTTTTCCTTAATTACTAGTGAAGTTGAGCATTTTTTTCACTTGGTTATAAGTCATATGTATTCTTCTGTTTATTGCTTGTTTTCTCCTTTGTCAATCTTTCCACTGTGTTGTTTCTTTTTCTTATTGCTTTATAAGAACTCTTTGTATTTTGTCTGTTTTCTCGAATACTTCTTCCCAGATTGTAATTTGTCCTTTAACTATACATAACATTTGCCATAAAGAAGCTTTGTTAGTTTTGTGGTTGTCTTTGAGGATTTTAAACATTGGTTGCTAAAGAAACAAAACAACAACACACAAAGTGTAGTACAATTAGTCCCCCGTCCCTGGCAAATGCCATTCAAATCCCTGCGTCAGCACTTTCTAGCTGCCTGATTGTAAGCAAATTTGATTTCACTGGACTTCAGTTTTCTAGTCTGTAAAATGGTAATAATAAAACTGGCTTTGCCCTGACTGGTGTGGCTCAGTGGGTTGGGCGTCACTCTATAAACAGTAAGGTCACCAGTCTGATTCCTGGTCAGGGCACATGCCTGGGTTTTGGAACCAGGTCTCCAGTTGGGAAGGGTACCAGAGGCAGCCGATGGATGGGTGTTTCTCTCCATCTCTCTATCCCTCGCTTTCCCTCTCTCTAAAAGGGAATAAATAAATAAAACCTTAATTAAAAAAAAAAAAAAGGCTGGCCTTATAGAAACTTAGGGAAGCGTGTAGCTCTGGTCTTGGCTGAAGATGATCTCTTCCCTTTTCTTGCAGTAGATGCATAAATCAAATCAGAGCAAACAATTGTGTTAAACATTGTATTTACTAGGATCTTCTAACTAAACGGGCGGGGGGGCGGGGGGGACCGGGTGGTGCTGAAGGCCGGCGGACGCGGAAATCAAAATCTGTACTTAACGTGCCCAAAAAGGACGCATTGGATCGTATTAACAACTCCTAACTCGGAAAACACTCTGGGGAGCGCAGTATTCCAATTTTACCGGGAGCAACTGAGTTCAAAAAACCTAGTTTCGTGCGTCTCTAAACCTAAGCGCCACCAAGCTGTCTGAGCGTCTCCACCAGGAAGCCCTAGGGCCACATCTATTATCGGGTCCCGCTTCCTGAATGGCTGGGTTAGAAGGTGCCGTTGGCGGCCTGGGTGGAGAGCGATGCGGAACCGAGTGGCCCAGCCCTTGGTGTCCCGGGCTCTCTCAATTAAAGGCCAGCCTCTTTCCTCGCTGCTTCCCCGCGGTGCCTTTTGGGAGTTGTAGTCAGACGCACGTCATCCTGCTCAGCGGGTGGGTGAGAATAAAACTCCAAATCCCAGTATGCTCTGCTGCAAGTGCAGCACCTTTTCCTATCCCCTCCCTTACTTTTTCACTTTCCCTTCCTTCCCTTGTCTTTTAGGCTGGTGTGACTCCTGTCTGTGAAATTCTTCGTCTCTCTCTCCCCATCTTTCTCTCTCTCTCTCTCTTTTTAAAACACCCTTTCCCCTATTTCCGGGTGCCAGTGCGCTCCGATTAAGCGACGGCTTTGAACTCAGGGTGGGCGAGGGGGATCGACCCAGAGTGGTAAAGGAACTGGGAGAGGGGGTGGCGGAGTGTAGGAGCTTTGAATGAGAGAGAGGAGTGAGAGAGAAGTAGGGGAGAAGTTAGGAGGTTGGACAGTGTGGATCAAGTTGAAGGGGGTGAAGTAGTATTTTGGGGGAGGGAGAGGAAAGAGGTAGAATTAGGTGTGGTAGATACGGAGCAAAGAGGTAGCTTACGGCTGTGCCCAAACAAGAGAAGTGGGGCCAAGAAGTAGATGGGAAAGTCTGACAGATGTGGAGCTTATGGGCCGCTCTGACCAGGAAAGGTGGGAAGGAGAGGATTGGGTTCAAAGACATCTTCTTGTCACTGCTTAGTAAAGATGAGACAAATCATCGAAATACAAAATAATTCTGCAGATATGGGGCAATTAATAATTCTGTTACTTAGAAATTGAGAGAAGGCTGGAGTTGAGGCTAAATGTGGGGTGACAAGACAGGAGAGGAGGAAGTCAGTCAGATTTGGGAGAAACGAGATGAATGACATGAAAATGGTCCACGTGGTGGGAGCCAGTGGATCTGGGACCAGAATGAGAAAGGTGAAGGGTGACACTGTCATGCATTGTGGAGGTCTGTTTCTAACACTTGCATCTCTCAGGTGATGGAAAGCACCCCCTCAAATGGTGGACTGAACCGAGCACACCTACAATGCAGGAATCTGCAGGAATTCCTTGGGGGTCTGAACCCTGGGGTATTGGACCGATTGTACGGGCACCCTGCCACCTGTCTGGCTGTCTTCAGGTGAGGAGGCCCTACATGGCAGGGACCATGTTGGGGCAATGTAATGGGGCTTGCAGACTGGGATGAGTTATCCCGTGTAGAAGCTTAGTCCTAAGGGACTTGGAGACTAAAGCGTGTCAGGCCAAAACAGATGGTGTTTGCGGGGACAGCAGCACTGGTAAAGGTGTGTGTGTTTGGGGGTGATGCGACGTTTGAGAGGCTGAGATGCAGGTTGAGGACAGAGACGCAGATCTAAGGCAGTTGCTGATATTTTACTTCTGCTCCCTGCAGGGAGCTCTCATCTTTGGCTAAGAATTGGGTGATGCGGATGCTGTTTCTGGAGCAGCCTTTGCCACAAGCTGCCGTGGCCCTGTGGGTAAAGAAGGAATTCAGCAAGTGAGTCTGCTGCATTCTCAGCTAGATGCAAATTTCTCAACAGCTGGATTTCCCAAACTGCTGTTCTTGGAACATTTTCAGGAAATATTAATGGGTACACCACCACCACAAAACTTACAATTAAATAAGGTTGGGAAACTCTGCATACTGTATTTTCCCTCTTGGAGAGCTGTGATGTCTAAAACAAGGCTCTGGTAAGCATTGCAGCAAAGAAATTTGCCTTAAGAAGACACTGATTTCACTCTGTGAATCAGGGAAGGATCACCAGTTCAGAAAAGGCAGCAGTGGAGGCCTTTATGGGCGGCTGCCTTTTTGTTCTCCAGACACCCCTCACCTCTGCTTCTGTTTCAGAGCTCAGGAGGAAAGTACAGGGCTGCTGAGCGGCCTCCGTATCTGGCATACCCAGCTGCTCCCTGGTGGTCTCCAGGGCCTCATCCTCAACCCAGTGTTCCGCCGGAATCTCCGCATTGCCCTTCTGGGTGGGTATGTCGCTTCCATCTCTTCCTTAGTTGGGCCAGGGGAACTAAAATTCTGTATGGAGAGCTGTAATGGGCCTGTCTGGAACCTTATGGGCTCCACATTTGGGAGCTCCTTAGGAATAAGTTGGGTGAGATACAGCTGCACAGTGTAGGAAAAACCTCCCACTCATGACCCATGGGAATGAGGGTGGTTAGAGGGCAGAGGGAAGGCAGGGACACAGGCAGGGCTTCTCACTCTTGGTCCATCCTGGCATAGGGGCAAGGCCTGGTCTGATGACACAAGTCAGCTGGGACCAGATAAGCATGCCCGGGATGTCCCCTCACTTGATAAGTACGCCGAGGAACGATGGGAGGTGAGGATTTGGGACTCTGTGTGTATCTCTGTGCTTCTACTTCCTGTAGACCCTAGACACATCTCTCTGTCCTCTTGCATTCCTCAGGTGGTCCTGCACTTCATGGTAGGCTCCCCTGATGCAGCTGTCAGCCAGGACTTGGCTCAGCTCCTCATCCAGGCTGGGCTCATGAAGAGGTGAGGAAGCCAGTGGTAGAACAGTGGCCTGCTTCAACGTATCCTTGGGTCCCCGCTAAACTGAGTGTTTGGGTGGGTCAGGAGTGGAGGGGGTTGACTGTAAAAGGAGAGTCGAGTGGAGTATGGCCAGAGGTAAACCAGAAGACATGAGAAGACCAGTGGAGATGGTGGCCTTTCTCTGCACACCTCTCCCATTGTCCCCCTCTCTGTCCCCAGTGCTGAGTCTGGAGAACCACCCTGCATCACCTCTGCTGGCTTCCAGTTCCTGTTGCTGGACACCCCTGCCCAGCTCTGGTACTTTATGCTGCAGTACCTGCAGACAGCCCAGGTGAGGGACTGCTCGCCTGCACGCTTTGGTCTTCTCAAGACCCACTCAGAGACTGCTACCTACAGACTGTGCTTCCTGACATCCTCTCCTCTCGTTTTCTCCTTCCTGCCCTTCTCTTTGTCTCTGCCCATCACTCCTTAGAGTCGAGGTATGGACCTAGTGGAGATCCTCTCCTTCCTCTTCCAGCTCAGCTTCTCTACTCTAGGCAAGGTAACGAGGGGCTGGAGCTGGGGACTTAGGTGGGTGAAGTGAAGGGGGTGAGATGGGGAGGGGAAGTGAGGCTATGGGGCTACAGAGTGAAAGATGAGAATGAACAGAGCATGGCCAGAAAAAAGGAAAAGAGGGAGCGGATGAACCGGGTTGGGAGGAGTAGAATGGGATGTGTTTTGGACTCCAGCTGACTACCTCTCTTCCCCAGGATTACTCTGTAGAAGGTATGAGTGATTCTCTGTTGAACTTCCTGCAACATCTGCGTGAGTTTGGACTTGTTTTCCAGAGGAAGGTATGAGCACCCAAATACATGGCTTCTAGGGAAGAGGCAGGGTGGTGTATGCTGCCTTGGCCTTTAGAAAGGAGTGGGGTTTTGGGAGGCAGCAGGAAGCAGTTGCCAGGACTGAATACTTGGGTCCCTTGGGGAGAGAAGTTGGGAGTTGGGGCTTTGTGCACTGGGAGGGATCTTGTGTCTCAGGAAGGAAGATGTACAACAGTGACACCTGAGAGAAGGCCCTCTGCCTTTCCCTTCCACCCTTTCCAGAGGAAGTCTCGGCGTTACTACCCCACACGCCTGGCCATCAATCTTTCATCAGGTGTTTCTGGGGCTGGGGGCACTGCACATCAGCCAGGCTTCATTGTCGTGGAAACCAATTATCGACTGTATGCCTACACTGGTGAGTCAACAGAGGGCCCCTGGGAGACCAGGTTGGGGATAGGAGTGGGGAGGACAAAGGAAGCAGGAAGGAATGCCAGTATTTTTTCGATTTACCTGACAGTTTACAGACTTCCCTGACATTTCCCTTTACCTATGAGGGCAGGGCTTGAGGAAGTTTGGGTATGGGGGAGCCTCATCATCCTCTCTTCCTGTCCCCGGGTCAGAGTCGGAGCTGCAGATCGCCCTCATTGCCCTCTTCTCTGAGATGCTCTATCGCTTCCCCAACATGGTGGTGGCACAGGTCACCCGGGAGAGTGTCCAGCAGGCCATCGCCAGTGGTATTACAGCCCAGCAGGTAGTCCCCTTTGGAGGGGTGATGGGAAGACAGGCTGCACTTGTGCTGTGGGACACAGGGTGGTCACCAGGTCTGTTACAGTAGGTGATGGGGAGTTGTCTATTTGAGCATAATCAGGCACATGAGAAGTCAAGGCTCTAGGTATGGGAATAGGCAGACATTGAGGAGAAAGACCTGAGGGACGAGGGCTACCTCTGAAATTTGTGTCTGGGCACCTTCACTTCCTAGCTGCATGAACAGGCTTGTTGCTTTGTTTTTGATCCTGTTTCTTCATCTGGAAGATGGAAATAATGAATTTTCACCTCACCAGGTTTTGGGGATGCTTTAGTGAGAGGACAATAGTAAAACACTGAGCTAAGAGCCTGCCACACAGTCAGTGCTGCTATTTTAAAGAAAAAAAAAAACACAAGGCTGTACAAAGGGCAGACATGCCAGAAAAGGAATGGCAGATAGGACAGTGGGAACAGCAACATGGGGCAACAGCTGAACAGGGCATGGGTTGATGACAGGCATGTGGCTCTGTTTTTTTAAACAGTAGGTTGATGTTCCATTGATATTAGGTGACAGCATAAGTAGCTTTCCTGCCTTCTTATTTGAGCATTTGATCCTATTCTTCTGTTTTTCTAGATCATCCATTTCCTCAGGACAAGGGCCCACCCAGTGATGCTTAAACAGGTACAGACAGGTACCAAGCTGCTGGAGGCTCACAGCCCCTGGCACCTGGTGATGAAGTGATGGAAATTCTGGGGAACAGTGGAGGAATAGGTTGTCTTGGCAGTCTTCCTGAATCTTCCAGCCACCCCTTGCTCCTGCAGACACCTGTGCTGCCGCCCACCATCACGGACCAGATTCGGCTGTGGGAGCTGGAAAGGGACAGACTCCGGTTCACCGAGGGTGGGTGGCTTCTGTTCGTTGATTCTTGGTCATTGGCCAGAGGGAGAACAGTTCAGTCTCGATGAACTGAAAAAGCTATTGATGCATTTTATTTTATTTTTTGGCTTGTTGACAAAACACTTTATTTTGGTGCTAGTCGGTAGTGGTAATTAAGCCTCAAATTAGTACAATTTGGATTTAGTTAGAAGAGAAAAGTTGGGAGGGATAATCCACAGCAACCTCTCTGGTTTTGTTGAGCACTACTAGGTTACCTTATTGTATTATATTGCCTCCTTGAACGTGGTTGGATGAGCCGTGAAAGGACATAGAGGATTAGATATAAATTGTGGGTGGCCTGCCACGGAGGGGCTCATGATCTCTCCTCTTCTGCCCCGCTGCTTTTCGGTCCCAGGCGTCCTGTATAACCAGTTCCTGTCGCAAGTGGACTTTGAGCTGCTGCTGGCCCACGCACGGGAGCTGGGTGTGCTGGTGTTCGAGAACTCCACCAAGCGGCTCATGGTAGTGACACCTGCTGGGCATGGTGACGTCAAGCGCTTCTGGAAGCGTCAGAAGCATAGCTCCTGAGCATGTGCACTGGGACGGGAGTCGGGCTCAGCCCTGCAACTCAGGGGTTTTTACCTAACAAGTGGAGACTGTTCAATAAAGTGAAAGTGAACCACGCAGCCTCCAGCACCTCCCTCTCGGCGGGTTCCGCTTCCAGCGTCTGCGGTCATTGGGCCCCGAGGGGCGGAGGGTGGGGCGGAGGGTGGGGCGGAGGGTGGGGCCGAGCTGCAGCTACTAACGCGCAGGCGCCCGCCGCCAAGCTCAGCCCCCGCCCCCCGCCCCCCCAATCCCTCGCGTCGGCAGAGCACCCGGGGGATTGCAGTCCTGTTGCTGTTTGGGTTGCTTGTGACTCGTCCCCAGCTATTGCCGCGCTGCAGGGCGCCTTGGGTTCGCTGTGGGCTCGCCTGGTGGGCACGCGGGGGTGAGCAGCCTTGGGTGGGTGGGACGCACAGGACTGGAGGCCACGCGGGCGGTATGTCTGGGCAGGCCAAGGTCGCGGTGACTGGCTGGACTCCTTGCTGGCTCGGGCACAAAGAAGTCCGTCATCTCTGGGAATCCCCGAGCCCTTTTCCTTCCCATGTGTTAGCGGTCACCCCACGTGTCAAATGCATAGGTTAGGGGCCAGAAACCGTGACCTCCAGAAGAGATCTGATCCTGTGGCTCCAGGATCTTGTTATTGTCGGCATTATGCCCTCTAGTCAGTCTCCAGGAGGAAGGGTTGTGTAGGAAAGGATAGAATACCAGAGTAGTGCTAGTAGGAGGCAGGGAATAAGAAATAGGGTGTGACTTCAGGAGTGTGATCCTCCCAGTTCCACATATCCTCCTCATGTGCTTTGTCTGTCTGGAACAGATCGTGGCCCCTTTGCAAGCACTCCTGATGCCTCATTTGCCTCTGGCCTCTTTTCTACAATGGGGGCTGAGGCCCTCGCGGGGCCTCCCAAGGTCCCATCCCCTTTCTACCCAGTCAGAGCCCTATGGATCCCCCATCTCCCAGAGGAACCGTGAAGCCAAACAGAAACGCCTGCGAGAGAAGCAGGAGGCGCTGGAGGCTGGGTTAGCCCGGAAGAGCAAGGTTGGGGTCACACAGCTTGTTCTTGGGTCTCTGAGTAGACTTGGGAGGGGGCTGGAGGAGAGACTGCTGGATTCCACATACCTGGCATTTACTGGGAACTGCATCTTCCCTTTATGGTTCCTCTTCCCTGCAGTCACCTGCAGAATTCAGCAAGGCCTGGACTCCTAAAGAAATAGTGTTGTATAAAATCCCCACAGAACTTGGTGAAAAGAAAGGTAACTAGGAAACGTGAAGGCCTTCTCTTTCACGTTCTTGTTGCCCATTTGATTTGCTGAAATGCAGCCTGGGAATGAAGTTTAGGAATTAGCAGAGCTTTCTTCTGCCTCCTCAGATGTCTCCCAGCCCTTGCCTCCTGCATACAGCCCCCGATATGTTGAGGCGGCCTGGTACCCTTGGTGGGTTCGAGAGGGCTTCTTCAAGCCGGAATATCAGGTTTGTATCTGGCAGAGTGAGGTACTAAACAGTCCTCAGGATAAATAGCCCAGGAGGTTGGTGGGTACAACTGAGCCTCAGAGTCTGGAGCTCACAGCCAGCCACATTGGAGAGCTTGCTTCCTGCCCCTGGTGTCTCCACAGCATTTTCTTGGCAGGTTTTCCCTTTCCCTGTTATTTGCGGGACCTTTCCTTTTTTATGCCTTGGAGATACCTGAGGACGCTATTCACCCAGTTAACATCCAGTCCCCTCTTGCCCTTGACTTTGCCTCTTGCTTCTAGATCAGGTTGCCGCAGGCTACAGGGGAGACCTTTTCCATGTGCATCCCACCTCCCAATGTCACTGGCTCCCTACACATTGGGCATGCACTGACGGTGGCCATCCAGGATGCTCTTGTGCGCTGGTGAGGGGAGAGGGGCTGCTTGAGTTCTTGGAGGGAAGGGGAAGGGGCAAGGAGTGAGGATAAATATGTAACCTCAGTGCTTCATGTGCTGGTGTTTCTGTTGCAGGCACCGGATGCGCGGGGATCAGGTGCTATGGGTCCCCGGCTCAGATCATGCAGGAATTGCCACCCAAGTATGTCTTTTGGTGCTGTTTCCTTTTCTGGGGTGAAAGAGATTTCTACCCCCGGAAGTGACCTGATTCTCTGTTTGCCCCCTAATCTCACAGGCCATGGTGGAGAAGCAGCTGTGGAAGGAGCGAGGGGTAAGGAGACACGAACTGCGCAGGGAAGACTTCCTCCAGGAGGTGTGGAAGTGGAAGGAGGAGTGAGTATGACAGGCACTGGGAGGTGGGGATCCTGGTTTGGGGCCTTGCTTTCTACCCCCTCTCCCTGCTTGTGGTTGCTCCTCTCATTTTCCCTCACCTCCCTAACTTCCAGAGACTTGAGCTCTAGGGGTGTCCAGCCTTTTGGCATTTCTGGGCCCCACTGGAAGAAGAGTTGTCTTGGGCCACACATTAAATACTCAAACACTAACAAAAACTGATGAGCAAAAAAAGAAGGTTTTAAGTAACTTCACGATTTTGTGTTGGGCCACATTCATAGCCATCTTGGGCTGCATGTGGCTGGCGGGCTATGGGTTGGACACTCCTGTTAGAATTTGGTGGGGTCTCCAAGCTGTATGTGTAAGCTGTCTGTGCATGTCTGTATGTGTGTCTGAGTGTGATACAGTAGGATACGTATATCAAAGTGTGTATGTGCCTTTGTATATATACATACGCATACACTTCTCCCCTCCCCCAATTACCCCATTTTCCCTTGCCTAGATTTCATCATCGGTCTTACTCACCCATGCCCACCTTTCACCTGCTTCACATTGCCCTCATTTTTCCAGGTCTGTTATCACATGCGATCTTCTCATAGAGCTTCTTCAGGTTTCCCACAAATTGGCTGCCCTTTCATCTATTACCGTAGAACTTTATACTGTTTAAAATTTTATCGAAGGCTTCAAACTGGTTTGTGAGTTTGTGTCCATTAGCTTCTAGGGGCTAGATCAATGCCATATTCACCCCAGTCTCCAGCATTGCTGGGGTGTCATCTGGCTTGGTACATTATTGGTACTCAGGACATGGTTGCTGACAAATCTCTGGGCACAGGAAAGGTGGAGAGATCTGTGAGCAGCTTCGAGCTCTGGGTGCCTCCTTGGACTGGGACCGAGAGTGTTTTACCATGGACGCCGTGAGTGTGCCCAGCCTGGTCCCTGTGGGTGTCAGGGAGGTGTTTAGAGATCTTCAGGGAGGTGGGTTGTGGTGTGTGCTGGGGGTAGCAGCGTGGGAGTGATGGTCCCTGAATGGGGCGACAGGCTGAGAAGGGGCTGTTGGGTGTTGACACTCAGGTCGTTCTAGGGCTCCTCAGTGGCTGTGACTGAAGCTTTCGTGCGACTTCACGAGGCAGGGTTGTTGTACCGCAGCCAGCAGCTTGTCAACTGGTCATGTGCTTTAAGATCAGCCATCTCTGACATTGAGGTAAGGCAGAAAAAGAGAAGCAGGTTCCTGAGAGCACTGAGGCAGGCGAAAGCCCAGAGTCGGGAGCCAGACTGCCTGGACTCGCACCCAGGTCCTGGCACCTACCAGCTCTGTGACTTCTGGCCTCTGTGAGCCTCAGTTTTCCTAATCTGTAATTTGGGGCTGATGGGAACGCCTGTGCGTTGGGGATATTGTGGGAATGAAGTGAGAACTCATGGAAGGTGCTCAGCACAGTACCTGTGTGTGGTTTAAATGTTCAGTGAATATTTACTTTAGCTGTATTACACAAGAATTAGGTGAGAACACAGGGAGGTGGTTCCCCACTCCTCTGAACGGCTTTTTAATAGATGGGCTGCCGGGAGGCTGAGCAGGTGGAAGAGTGGAGGTGGGAAGAATGGCTGTGAACCTTGCAGAAGGGCTTCTCTCAGACCCTGCTTCTTCTATGCCTCTAGGTGGAAAGCCGGTCCCTGCCTGGCCACACGGAGCTTCAAGTGCCTGGCTGCCCCACCCCTGTGCCTTTTGGCCTCCTTGTTTCTGTGTCCTTCCCTGTGGATGGAGAGCCTGGTAAGGGCAGCCCGCGGAAGGGTTGCTCACTGATCTCTGCTTCCCCTGTTTTCTCAACCTGTGCTGGGCTGATGGGAGGGAACCCCCCAGCCTGTTTCACACATGACCTGGTGGGAGGGGCATAAGGAACCTTGGTAGTGTTTGTGTTTTTGTGGGTACTTAACCCTGGCTATTTTGGGCCGTGTAAGAAAAGTGCCCATGGTCTCTGCCCTTTGGGGACTTAGTGTAATTCTTCTGTGGTGAGAGGTGAGAATGACTGCTAGCTAGACATGCGTGAATTTTGTCCTCAGATGCAGAGGTTGTGGTAGGGACCACGAGGCCAGAGACATTGCCTGGAGATGTGGCAGTGGCTGTTCATCCCGACGACACCCGATACACAGTAATGTCCAGTGCTCCCGGTCCCTGACATTCCTTCCCACAGCTTTCTCTTCCCTTATTTTTTGGATGGCGGCACCTTCTTGCCTGCTTCCACTTCCTTTTCCTAAGTCTTCTCAGCTCAGCTCTCCACTGGCTCTGAGTCTGCTCCTGTCTCTTTTTGATGTTGTGCATTTACTCTAGCTTGGGGGTTGACCAGGTATGGCCCAGGGGCAGATCCATGCTGCCTGTGTTTGTGCCCACCACACTCATTGGCTATGTTGTCATCTCTGCCATAGTGGCAGGTAGAGTGATTGTGCGGAGGTTGCATTTGCCTCTTGGCCTGCAAAGCCTAAAGTATTCACAGTCCATCCCCTTAAGAAAGCATTGGCTGAGTGCCACTCTGACTCTTTACCTTGGCTCTCATCTTATTTTCAGGGCTTTCCTTCCTGCAAAGATCTTTCTGCTCACACTTGCCTGTCTTTGACCCCTCTCCCTTCAGCATCTACATGGGCGACAACTTCGTCACCCCTTGACAGGGCAGCTTCTACCCCTCGTCACAGACTCTGCTGTCCAGCCACACATGGGCACAGGTGAGTGGAGGTCAGGGGAAGGAAAGAAATCTAGGGTGCTGGGGGGCGGGGACCAGGAGGAGGGAGAAAGGAGGGAAGGAAAGCTCCTATGGAGTAGTTTGAGTGGGTGGGGGGAACAAAAGGGAGGCACAGAGAAGAGCGGAGGGACGGGGGCGTGGGCGATGAAGATACATCTGGAAAAGCAAAAGCCAGGGTCAGGGTTCAGTGCTTATGGCGTCTCTGCTCCCCCAGGGGCAGTGAAGGTGACTCCAGCTCACAGTCCTGCTGATGCTGAGCTGGGGACCCGACATGGCTTGAGTCCCCTGAGTGTCATTGCGGAGGACGGGACCATGACCTCTATCTGTGGGGACTGGCTGCAGGTGGTACCAGACTCAGTGCTACCCCATCCTTTAGGGGCATCCTTTGCCCCACCTCCTCCTTCCCACTCTTTTATTTCTCTAGATCCCTTTAACCTTTATCATTGCCATTTTCCCAGGGCCTTCATCGATTTATAGCCCGGGAAAAGATTGTGTCTGCACTGAGGGAGAGGGGCCTGTTCCGGGGCCTCCAGAGCCATCCCATGGTGCTGCCCATTTGCAGGTGACTCATTTTAACTCTTTCAGCTCTGACCCCCTTAGGAGGGATGTGGCATGGGCTCTTTGCCCTCATGCTAGAATACGGGCTCTGTCAGCTTCATTGGCTGCTGCATTCTCAGTACTGAGGGTCTGGCACCTACTAGGGTCCTAGGGCTGGGGGAGCAGTAGGCTCAGCTGTCTCTCTTTTAGCCGTTCCGGGGACGTGGTAGAATACCTACTGAAGAGCCAGTGGTTTGTGCGCTGCCGGGAGATGGGGGACCGGGCTGTCCAGGTGAGGCTGCCCTGCAATCAACGACTGGTGCTTGGGGAAGGGGTGAAGAAACAGGACAGCTGTAATCAAGGAGGCGGGGTAGCCCAGACAGGGCTGTCCTCAGGAGGTTTGGGAGGTCCTTTCTGAGCTCAAGAACCATGTCAGAGAAAAGCTGTGCGTATAGGACCCGTAGCACTGTCTGAAGGCCTCTCACTGCAGGCTGTGGAGTCTGGGGCCCTGGAGCTGAGCCCATCTTTCCACCAGAAGAACTGGCGACTCTGGTTCTCTCGCATTGGGTAAGAGGGGCACTCGCGGAGCTTGGAGGGGACCACTGCTCACACTGAGCAGCTGCTCTGGTCTGTGGCAGGGACTGGTGCATCTCGCGGCAGCTGTGGTGGGGCCATCAGATTCCAGCCTACCTGGTTGTAGAGGAGCCCTTGAAGGTTGGTAGGAGGAAGTGCAGGAGGGGCAGGGCTGGGCGGTGGGGTGGGGAAAGGGCCTTAGCGTGGGAGTCCCAGGCTTTAACACTGGTCCAGCTTCCTGCCTTTCAGGTGCTTTAGCCTGTCAGCGCGGCCTGGCCTTCTTCATCTCACCACCAGAGGGCCCCCGAAGAGACCGTGAAACTGAGGTTTCCCACCTGCCAGATGTTCCTCCTCATGTTTCCCTTGTTCTGCAGGACGATAAGGAGGGCTGCTGGGTGGTGGGCCGGACAGAGGCAGAGGCCAGAGAATTGGCTGCAGAACTGACAGGGAGACCGGGGGCAGAGCTGACTCTGCAGCGCGGTGAGGGCCTGGGTCTTGGGGAGGTGGTATCAGGGAAGCTGGCAGTAATGGTGGGGCTGAAAGGGTGGGCAGCAGCAGGCTGAGATCCAAGAAGCGGAGGTCTCAATTGTCTCCATTCCCTGTTCTCTTTTGCAGACCCTGATGTCCTGGACACATGGTTCTCTTCAGCTCTTTTCCCCTTTTCTGCCCTGGGCTGGCCCCAACAGGTGAGGCACTGGCTTGAGGAAGAGCTGAAGGTGGGGACGGTGAAGGACACACTTGGGCCCTCCAAAAGTCTTGAGGAGATGGCACCCAGGGCCTCTTCCTACTTATTTTTTTCCTGCTAGACCCCAGACCTCAGTCGGTTCTACCCCCTGTCACTTTTGGAAACTGGCAGTGATCTTCTGCTGTTCTGGGTGGGCCGCATGGTCATGTTGGGGACCCAGCTCACAGGGCAGCTCCCCTTCAACAAGGTAACAACCCTTTAGTGCCCTGTCCCTCTCTATAACTTCAGTCTTCCCTAACTGTATCCTTTTTTCTAACCCCTACTGTGATGTTTTCCATGTTCTTGATTCTTGTTTCATGATTCACTTCCCACCCTGACCCTTAAAGCACGGAGGCCAGAGATCCCAAGGGACCCTCTGGGGAAAGGCCCTCCAAGCCACCCTCTACTGACCCCTCCATACCCCCAGGTGCTTCTTCACTCCATGGTCCGGGACAGGCAGGGCCGGAAGATGAGCAAGTCCCTGGGGAATGTACTGGACCCACGGGACATCATCAGAGGGGTGGAGCTGCAGGTCAGGATGAGAGCTGGACAGGGCTGGGGTTTGTGGGGGAGAGAAGGGGAGCCTCCAGAGAGGAGTCATCTGGGGGGACAGTGGGTGGGAACCTTGGAGCAGTTGGTCTTGGACTGAGGTCAGCAAATACTCACCTGTCCTAGGTGCTCCAGGAGAAGCTGAGAGACGGGAACTTGGACCCCACAGAGCTGGCGATTGCAACTGCAGCGCAGGTGTGTCCCCAGTGGCCTCGAGCTCCCAGCAACCCATTTTCTCTGTGACCCAGGCTTCTGGCCCTGCAGTTTCGTAGACATCTGCCACCCCTCCCCCCTCTGGTTGCAGAGAAAGGACTTCCCTCATGGGATCCCCGAGTGTGGGACAGATGCCCTGCGGTTTGCCCTGTGCTCCCATGGGGCCGTGGGTAAGCTGTGGAGCCAAAGGGGGCAGGTGGGGGCGAAGAGGGGCTGGCAGGGCTGAGGACAACCCGTGTTACTGCAGTCCCCCTGCATACTCTCTGCTTTTCTCCCTCCCAGCAGGTGACTTACACCTGTCTGTTTCTGAGGTCCTGAGCTCCCGACATTTCTGCAATAAGATCTGGAACGCCCTGCGCTTTATTCTCAATGTTCTAGGGGAGCAATTCATACCCCAGCCTGCAGAGGAGGTAAGAGCGAAAGAAAAGGTGCTTGGGAACAGGGTTGTCTGATGTCTGTAGTGGAAGATGGCATCTAGAAGGAAAGGCAGGGAGTGAGAGTGGAGCTGTCTCCATCCTGCAATCCTCTTCTGCCTGCAGTTGTCCCCCTCCTCCCCAATGGATGCCTGGATCCTGAGCCGCCTGGCCCACACTGCCCAAGAGTGTGAGCGAGGCTTCCTTACCCGAGAGCTCCCACTTGCCACCCATGCCCTGCTCCACTTTTGGCTCCACAGCCTCTGTGATGTCTACTTGGTGAGTGGGGCTGGGGCCGGTGTGCATTGCACTCCTGCAGACCTGCTCTTCGTCCCCTGGGGATTGGGTTCACTGGCAGAGATCTCTCAGTTAGGTTCCTGATTGTCCTCTCAGTTAGGGCAAGAAGACAGATGAGCCTGGGAATCCCAGTTCCCCTCTTCCCTGTGACTGACCTAGTCACTGTTCCCTGCCTGTCACCTGGGAGAAAGGAGGAGGTGGGAAGACCCCTGGGAAACTGAGTCTGACAAAGCAGGGTCAGGAGGCAGATGGAGCTTCTTCCTCAGTCTCTGATTGCTGAGTTTGGACCCTGAGCAGGCCGGAAGCTATAAACAGACAAGGAGGAAGTAGAGTGGTCTTTAGACCTCGGGTTCTTACACTTAATTCTGTGTGAGAATCACTGGGAGGGACAGCTGGTTAACCTGTGCCCACCACCCCCCAGGTGCTGACTTACCAGGTGGGATGGGGTGGTGAAAATTGTCACTGCTTGTCCCAGGTAATGCTGCTGGCTTAGGACTGCTGCCCGAGATCACTGCCTCTCAATCTTATAAACAATTCTCTGTCTCTTTTATAAGCAAAACTTCATTACTTCTTTTTTTTTCCCTAAACTGTACAACCTTCCTGACAATTTGATTCCTTTGGATTCCCTACCCACCTCTAAGAATCCCTACCTGAGATTCCCTTTCTGTGGGAGAGCCAGTGGTGTCCAAGCTATGGCGTTTTCTTACCCAGAGCATCCCAACTGGTGGGGCTGCAAATGTGTGGAGACGGCAAGGCTGTGGCTGTGGCCCAGCCCTTTCCCCTGACCTGCAGGCTTCTTCCCTAGGAGGCTGTGAAGCCGGGGCTGTCACACTGCCCCAGCCCCCCTGGGCCTCCTCAGGTGCTGTTCTCCTGTGCCGACATTGGTCTGCGCCTGCTTGCCCCGCTCATGCCCTTCCTGGCCGAGGAGCTCTGGCAGCGGCTACCCCCGAGGCCGGGTGGCCTCCCTGCCCCCAGCATCTCAGTTGCTCCCTACCCCAGTGCCAGCAGCTTGGTGAGTCACACACATTCCTGGAGTGGGACTAGTGGGGAAGGGTTGGGGAGTAGTCATCTAAAAGGGTTTGCTGCTATGGGGTCATTGACTACGGTGGTTCGTACTACTTTGAGGAGATAGATTGTTCTGTAGCGCTGCCTTGGGGAGTGGTATTACACAGTGGACAAGAACAGGACTGTCACTAGACTGATCCTTGCTAGCTGTGTAACTGTGCCTCAGTTTCCCTCATCGTTAAACTGGGGGTGGCAATGCTCAATGTCATGGTTGTGATGAGGATTAGATGTTAATAATAGGATAACCCAAAAGTCTCAGTACAGTTTTAAGCTTTAGTAACTTGAGGAGGATAAATGCACCAAACTTAACCCCCCAAAAATAATTTCAAAGCTTAATTAAATTTCTTTTTTAATTATGTGGTCTCGTGAGTTACGTGGCTTTGTGAGTTTTGAATAATACATTCTAAATCTTATTTTTGGTTGTCTGCCATCTTCACTCAGAGTGACTGAACAGGCACCAACCACTGATCATCTATGATCATCTTAGATGACTCCCCAGTTTTTGCTGTGTTCCATCCTTGAGGTGGTGCAGAGGAGTAGGTGGGTGGGTGGAGGACAGAGCCAGGAGAGGTGGTATAGGAGTCCCAGGAGCCTGTGGGTCAAACTCTGGGTCCCTGTCTCCAGGAACACTGGCACCAGCCTGAGCTGGAGCGGCGCTTCTCTCGGGTCCAGGAGGCTGTGCAGGCGCTAAGGGCTCTTCAAGCCATGTACCAGCTCACCAAGGCCCGGCCTCGAGGTGAGGTGTTGACGTGTGTCCCTGCAGAAGGAAGGGGCTGGCGGGGCAGAGGAGGAAGCCTGGGGGCAGGCCCCGGGGTAGGAGGTGCAGGATGGGAAGGGAAGCAGGGTCATGGGCCCTGACAGATTTCCTTTTCCTCCTAGTGCTGCTGCAGAGCTCAGAGCCTGGAGAGCAGGGCATGTTTGAGGCCTTTCTAGAGCCACTGGGGACCCTGGGCCGCTGTGGGGCTGTGGGCCTCTTACCTGCCAACACAGCTGCTCCCCCCGGCTGGGCCCAGGCCCCAGTCAGTGACACCGTTCAGGTCTACATGGAGCTGCAGGTACCCAAAGGAGATTGGTGTGGGGAGGGGTCAAGGGCGAGTTTTATTTATAAAAGTGCAGTGGAGTCTTAGCGTGGGGAGGAAGGAAGTGCTGGGTGGGCTGCAGATGTCTCTCTTCTCCGACAGGGACTGGTAGACCCCCAGGCTCATCTACCTCTACTGGCTGCCCGAAGACACAAGTTGCAGAGGCAGTTTGATGGCCTCATAGCCTGGACCCCATCAGAGAAAGAGGCAGAGACTCAGAGGCAGCAGAGGGTGAGCTGGGAGGCCACCCAGGAAGCCCCCCTCCCTGAGGGAATGTGGTAGGAGGGGGGTGGGCCTCATACCTGGATCCTTATCTGCTTCTCACCCTGTCCAGCTTTCTTCCATCCAGCTGGAATTGTCAAAACTGGACAAGGCGGCTTCTCACCTCCAGCAGCTAATGGACGCATCTCCCAGCTCCAGGGAACCCTGAGCCCTCGACCCGCTGTCCCTGGCGGTTCTCTGCCCTCCCAGGCCTGCCTTTGAGAACAGACTGATCCTGTAGCTGCTGGCAAGACGGTGCTTCAGAGACCACATGGTCCAGCTCCCTCATTTATGGGAACAAACCAGCTTGATCAGAGTGACTGTGGGTTGCTTGAGATGCTCACATTCCTGCCCCTGCTTCCCTCCTTTGCAGCCCCAACTGGGAGTTTAGGCATGAGGAGATTCAGATAAACTTTTAAAATCTTAAACACATGTACCTGTGGTTCTTTATCTCATGCTCCCTCAGTGGTGACTTCTTGTCTTTCAGTTGTTCCCTGAGACTCTGGTCTGGGAAAGGAGGTGGGCCACCTCTTCCTTGGGCTTGGGCCACAGTGGGAGTGTGGGTGCTGGGCGGTGTCTGCCTTGTTGGAGAAAGGGAAATTCTCATAGGCCTCACACAGTGATCTGGGTTCAGCCTACTTCCCAGACTTACCGACAGTGTCCCAACTTCTGTTGGTACTTCACTTCCTTGCTCCTTGGCTCAATCCCCAGGGGTGCTGAGGGGCTGCAGAGAGTGCCTCTCCTTCTGTGTACTTGAGACTAGCGTGCCTGGGACACCCTGCCTAGCCCATGCCAGGTACGTAGAGACAGGCAGATGCCGACCTCCCCACCCCAAACATCCTGTGTCATCTTAGTGGAATTCAGGGGCTGACTCTGTGAGTTCCATTCTGTCCAGCAGGTCTGAGTAGCTGCTCTTTATGGCCGGCCTCTCATGGCTGGGGCCTCCCTGGTGCTATTTAATCCTTTTGAGAACCTCCGAGGTGGGGGTGTTCTCTCCATTTTAGAGATGAAGAAATGTGCTCAGAGAATAAAATGAGCTTGTATAAAGTATCGAGTGGGATTCAACCCAATAAACTAAGAGTGAATTCTTTCTGGTTGCTGTAACCAAGCTTCCTGTATCATGGCTGCTTAGATGAGGTAAATGTTTCATTCTCTGGGCAGAAGAATCCCTCCTTTTAACATTCTCCTGCCATTTTGATACACTGTTTCTAACTCTAGGTCTGAGATCTCCAGTTCCCAGCAGCGCATTCAGATTCCCACCAGGAAGGAAGAGGAAAAGGAGGGGATGGGCAGGTTCCTATTTCTCTTCCCAAAGTTTAGTAAGTATTTCTTGAGCACCTGCTCTGCACTAAGCCCTGTTCTGCACCCACCCTTGGATTTATCAATGAATGAAAGAAACAAAGATCTCTGCCCTGGTAGTACTTTGGGTTCTAGTAGGGAAAGTCAAAAATAACATGTAAATATGTAAAAAATAGAGTGTCTGAAGGCCATGAATGCTATGAGGAAGAAAGTGTAGAACAAGGTAAGGGCATGTGGGTGTGTGTTGGGGGAGCAGACTGTAGTATTAATTAGCCTCTGGACTAATGCAGGATGATTACAAAGGAAACTAGGGACATTTTGTGGGTTTTGTTTTTATTTTTGAACTTCCTGTGTTCAAAAATATCCCTCATCTTCAGGGATGCTCCACACGGAGCTGTTACCTTTACCTCCCTCCAGAGTAGTAGTAATAGGTGGTCAGCGTAGAATTCACTGTAGAGGTGAGATTTAAGCAAAGTCTGCAGGAGGTGCAGGAGTTAGCTGAGTGGATGCCTGGGTGAGGGAAGAGCCAGAGCCTGCCCAGAGTGCTTAAAGAATAGCAACTGGGGAATGAGCAAAGGGAATGAGCGATGGGGTAGGGATAGGAAGGCTCTAGGAGGACTGTCTAGGGTGGTGCTGTCCAAAATGCTAGCCATTTGGCTATCTAAAGTAATTAAGATTAAAAGAGGTTCAATATTCAGTTCCTTATTTCAAGAATTTGATAGTCACATGTGGCTAGTGGCTACCATATTGCTTAGCGCAGGTTCTAAAACATTTCCATCATCAGAGAAAGTACTACTGGAAAGTGCTGGTCTGAGACCTTGTTGGCAGTTGTAAGGACTTTGTTTTCTTCCTTCTGAAGTGGTAGTTCCTTTCCTTTCAAGGGTGTTACCAGGAGGTTGCATACTTCCTTTCTGCTTGCATCCCATTAGACAGACCCTAACCACAGCCATTCCTAGCTTCAAGGGAGGCTGGGAAATGGAATGAGACAGGTGCTCAGCTAAAATTCACATGACTATCCCAAAGGAGGAGAGTGTTTATAAGGGGACACTTAGCAGTTTCTGCCACACCCAGGTCTAATGAACCCCCAAACCTTCTTTCCACTGCACTGCTCTGTCTTGTGTCTGGGAAGAGAATTCTTTGAGAAAATAATCTGGAAATCTCAGCCCAGTAATCCCAAATCCTGAGATTTAAGAACCAGATTCAGGAGCAGTTAGCTCTCTGCTCCTCCAGCCTTTTGGGGAACCAGACATCTAGTCCCACAGCTTGTTTGGAGCCTGCCTTCAGGGATGCTCCAACACGGAACTGTTGCCTTTACCTCCCTTCAGAGTGGTAAAGCTTTAATTTCATACTCTGGTGCTGGTGATTCGGGGGTGAGTGGTTGGCAGGGACATGTGCTGTGGAGAGCAGGAAGCAATCATATCAATACCCCAAATGGTCAAGTCTTGGCTTCGTGCTTGCAATTTGAGACAGCCGGTAAGAAGTTAAGACAGTCTTGAGTGGGGGAGTCAAATGAGTGCCTGCCTCAAGAAAACCAGGAGGACAACCCTGAACCTTGATGGGACTTACATGTTGGAACCGGCTTTCCATTCTAACAACAATCCCTACCACTTGTGTCCCTTTTTCTGACAAGTGCCCTAGGTAGTTTATCCATGTAATCCTCATGACAATCCTATGAAGCAGGTACTGTCTTTATACCCATTTTGCAGGTGAAGAAATGCAGGTTCCACATGGATAAGAAATCACCTAGGACTCAAGTATGGGCCTCTGTGGCTCCAAGTCCTTATGCTTAGCCAACACAACCTCTGCTAGCACCCATCCCCCCTCCACCTATGCAAGCTGGCCACCCTTTAATCAGCTGAACCCCTCATTTCTCACCTGAGTTGCCTCCCATCCTTCCTTCTACCCTGATTGACCTGAGAGGATCCCTGGGTCAGAGGGCCCATGTCCTGTGGGTGTCTGTCCACATCCCTGTCTGGGTTCTGAGTCCCCAGCCCCAAAGCTTAACCAAAGGGAACGGAAATAAAAATCTTGCTTAAGGCAAGGCATTTGTGTGGTGTCTGACCTCTCCACTGCAAACGGATGTCAGGCGAGTGGCCTATCCTCTCAGCCTCAATTTCCTGATTTGTAAAATCAGATAATACCACTGATTATGCTACATTTAAGATTGCTGCATGCATGCATTGACCTGGGAAAGCATCACGCCTGGGGCAAAGTACAAACTCAATACACGGCTCTTTCCCTTATTCCCAGGTATTCTGAAGATCTTGAAGTTGTGTATTCAGGTCCCTGTATATGGGTGTGTCACCAAGTTAATTCCTTAGATTCCTTCTAGGTCTTTGAAACCGGCATTGAGGGAGAATGAGTCCATCCTGGAACCCCTCTGCTTCCCAGAGGAGAGTCAGAGACTTGGGTGTCCAATTCCTTTATTCAGTGGGCTTACGAATTCACAAAGTCATTGAATTTAGCATATTGACTGCCCGTCAGCAGGTGGGGGCCTGCTGGAAGAAGGGGCCAGGGTATTACCCCTGCACTGGGCGGGGAGGAGGGCAAGCAGCCCATCCAGGAGAGGTACAAGCTCCAATTTCTCTCAGAGTTTGCAAGTGAAGCGGTGTGGGGATCCAGCCTGATTGAGGGTGACATTGGTCCCTGATGGGAGGCGGAGGAGGAGGCAGAGCTGGGGGAGAGAATGGGTTAGAGGGCGGGGTGTGAAATGGCTCTCACACCTAGGATTGCCAGGTGCCAGTGGAGAGACCCGAACCGACTCAGAAACACAATCTGAGTTCATTCAGCCCCATCCTTTCCCCTCCCAAAGACCTACCTTCTTGAGCAGTTCCAGAGAGCTGGAATCAAAGGAGGAATTTTCAAGAAAGGAATGCTTCAGCTTCAGTTGCAGAGTCATTCCTGGCCCTAGGGATCCAGAGGTACAGCTTAGGACCCAGCTACCATGGCCGGGGATGTGGGCACCCCTCCTACCTCACCCCCACCTGACTCCCTCTTCCCAACAAGGCCCTTTCAGACCCTTTCAAGGCAGAGTTTACTCCTGAATTCCGAGGAGCTCAGGATTTGGGGTATCTCTGTCTCTCTCCCCTTCTCAGCCTCTTATTGCCACGAAGACCTTTGTGTCCAGCCCGCTAGCCCTCACCTGTTCCATGTGAGCTGACAAGGAGGGTCAGGAGGAGGAAGAGGGGCAGCCGGGCCCCCATTGTGGCCACCTCACTTCTTGATGGACAGAAGAGATGTCTGAAGCACCCAGGGCCTCTCCTTACCTGGCCTACCTTTCCACAGCCAATCCTTAGCACAGGCATTTGGGGGGAAATGGGAGGGGGAAGCTGGGTAACTGGATTTTCCAGTTCTCCCAATGTGGCTTTGAGGACCCAGGAGAAGGCCATTCACTGGGCTGCTTGGGAGAACAGTGGGCGGTCCCTCCTTACCCATCCCCAGTGGGCGCCTGGTCCTGCAGAGAGGAAAGAGGAGGAAGTGCCCCTCCCGCAGCTGTCTAGACCTCACCCAGGCCAGGGCCTCTCATTGTTCTTTAGGGATTAATTATTAACTACAATTAATTCCTATCATTCATGCCACCAAATGGCTCAGGAATGTGGGCCCAAAAGGGAGGGGTAGATTAAGCCAAGTTTCTTCCCAAACCCAGGTATCCTGCTCCCCCACCCACAGTGACTTTCTAGGTGAAAAGTCTGAGCAATGGGAGACTTTCATCTTTGAATGTTTTTAGTTGCCCTAAAACATCCCAGATACTCAAGTGGTCACGCGGGTTTTAGTAAATCTTACTCCTCCTGCCTTTTGTGTTCAGGCAAAAGGGGATACCCTTATCTACCCAGTCACAGGCCCTCAGAATGGTAAACACAGGACAGATGTGTAGAGAAAAGCTTGGAGCTCATCTAGTTTACCATCTTTTTTTTTTTTTTTTTAAACTAGGAAATATGGCCCAGAGAGGGTGAATGATTGAGGTCACACAGTAAGTCAGATAGCACATAGCAGAGAGATTAGAACTCATCCCTCATAATGCCAGACACACCAGACATGTGGCCAGGATTGACGTGCCAGTCACATCAGCCCCTGGAACACACAAAGGAACTTCTTCCCATCTGCCTCTCAAGGTAACACCTCCCGTCTCTCTGAAAGCCAGAGGGCCCAAGCACAGAAGAATGGAGGCAGAGATGGAGGGAGATGTCTAAACCATCACTGGGACTCCCAGACTGGCAATGGAGGAATGAATGGACAGAAAGATTAGCAGGCCCAACAGGTAGGAGCAGCAGGTAGAAGGTGGAGAGATGCTTTGGGGCACCTGAGTGTTCAGAGGAGAAGGGAGCGCCCCTGTGTCTTTCCCTTTCTAGGTAATCATAGCTGACACTGTGTGCTAGGTGTGTTAGAAACATTTCCTTTAATGCTCATCACGCTCCTTTACACTACAGGCTAGATCACCTTGTTTTAGGAGATAAGCCACAACTCTTGAGTTGCTGCACAGTTGGGAAGTGGTGGGTTCAGGGCAGGCAGGCTCCAGAGTTGGTTTCTGAACTTCTGCAATGCACTGTCCCTAAACATGATGTGGTCTTCCCTGCTGCTCCTCTTGTCCACCGAAGGAATGGAAAACTTTGGGGCTGCAGCCATCTGGATGAGGGTGGCTCAGATCCTACCCTGCCCTAGGTCTCCCAAGGGTCAAATGCAGTTCCCAGGCCATAACGTCCTCCACCCTAGTTTTCAATTCCTGCTTCTTCTAGAGACCCGTATGCCCTCACTGCCAAAAATTGTATTTCTAGCAGCAAGAGGGGGATCTGGGGATAGAACACCTGGTCCTCTTCCTTTCAGGAGGGTCTGGGTGGGGGACTGACTCAGGCCTGGGGGATAGGTCCTTAGTCTGGGAAGAGCCCAAGGGCCAGGTAGGGGAATCTTCAGGCTCTTACTCAGTGCCCACTTCTCCCATGTTTCCTGGGATCAGGCTGGGACAGGTTAATCCTCTGGGGACAGCTTGGTGACCTCTCCCTGGATGGGAATCCTGATGTTGATGGAGGTCCTGGCATACCTGGCTCTCCAATGGCACGTAATGGGCCTCAGGACCTTTAAAAAGCCTCTGCAATGGGTCTGGGAAGGCACCTGGGTTGACACCATGGATGTTGTGCGGGTACTGCTTGTGGGTCTGCAGGCCTCTGCCACACGCAGTGAGCATGGACTTGAAAGGTGTGCTGGGTGTTGGGGTGAAGACCCAGGGACATGGCCAACTCTTCTAACCTGATCATGTTCTTTTCCAACAGCCCAGCTGCCCCCGTTGAGGACCACGATAGCCGGAGGCAGCCCCGCTGTCTCTGACAGTCTATCTCCAGGGATGTCTCTGGGGGTCTCCCCTCTGTCTCTGGGGGTCTCCCCACTGTCTCTAGGGGTCTCCCCTCTGTCCTGGGACTGTCTCTGTAACTGTCCCCACCATCTCAGAGAGTCTCCCCACCATGCCTGTGAGTTTCTCAACAGTTTCTTTCTCAACAGTTTCTTCAACATCTGAGTATTTTCCCAGTCATCCTCAGACTTTAGCTTCTACCATTTCTGGGAGCCCTTCAGGACCAGTCTCAGCATCACCAGGTGATATTTCTGTCGCTCAATCCATCCTTGAAGGACTCATTTTTTTTTAGTGTGGCCCGACGCTGTGGGTGGGGGCCTTCTGTGCTCAGTCGGCAGGGTCAGTCATCAGTTGGCAGTCCCCCAGAGCCTCATGAAGCAAAGCCCTGGTGTAGGTGGCTGCACAAGGGCCCCTTCCTGCTTTTCAGTTTCTCAGCCTTTTCTCTGTGGTTAGTACCTTTTGTATCCTGCCTAAGACCTTCTCTTGCTTACTTCGAGGTCATGAAATAACATATTCTCGAACATGTTATTTCAGAAGCTTTATTATTTTAGTTTTCAAATTTAAGCCTATGATCTATCTCACATTAATTTCTGTGTATGGACTGAGGTAGGGGTCAAGTTCAATTTTTTTCTCTTTATGGTTAACCAGTTGCCCCAGAACCATTTATTTCGAAGACCCCCGGTCACTCGCCACCATTGCTTTCTGTGAGTACCTTTATCGAAAGTCAGGTGATCATCATGTACTGTCTGGACTTGATTCTGCTCTTTCATTTGTCTGCTCTCCAGTGCCACAGGGCTTTGTCCCAGCTCTGTAGCAAGCAGCAGAGCTGGTAGTAGGAGACCTCCACTTCTGTTTCTCTTTTGGATTGTCTTGGCTATCCTCAGACTTTTCATCTTTATAGAATCAATCCATCAATTTCTACCAAAGGCTTGGATTGAAGCCCTTGAAAACCCTCGCCACTGAGGTTCTGTTCCTGAGGGATAGAAGAGAACTCCATAGAGAAATGTGGTCTTAGAGTCACAGAAACATGAGAGTCACAGAAGGAAAGGTGGAAAGTTAGGGAATAGGCGCTGAGGTCCCTCCTGCCTCATTCGCTGCTCCTCAGTCCTGACACCTCAGAAGGGCTTTGTTCCAGATCGGGCCATTGTGTTGATCACAGTCACTGTGGCGGCAGCAGTAGTCAGCTTACTGTATGGTATCAAGCCGGTGAGTGAAGCTGTGGTCTGAATGCATGGGTTTTCAGACCAGTGGGGCTGGGACATGGTGCCCCAACACTGACAAGCACAGGGGCTTTAGGGAGAAGGGTGACAGTTTGCCACACTTAGGGAGGATCTAAGGGGAAAAGGAACCCTGGTCCTGATGACTGGAAGGAAACAGTGACCAGGCAGGCATGGGGGCTTAGGGTCACTGACAGAGAGGCTGGAGAATGCTGGAGGCTCATCAGCTTACAGAGGCACTAAATTCACCTCTTGGTCATGGAGAATCAGCTCTGTGGAGCCAAGGTTCAGTCCTGGCTCTGACATTGTAGTTGGGTGACCTTGTGCAAGTTACCTAACCTGTGTTCCAGATTCCTCATTACTACTGCTAGTAAATAATACTTAAATAGCACTTATTATGTGTCAGGTGCTGTGTTCATAGCAGACCTGTGGTATAGATAATATTATTACCCCTTGTTGTACAGATGAGGTAGTTGAATCCTAGATAAAATGAGAATGATAGTATCCATTTCAAAGGCTATTGTAGGATGAAATGAGCTTATATGCAAATATGGCACTGAGATGCTTAGCACACAGTAAGTGATCAGTAAATTAGCATTATTGTTTTTGCTGGAAGGGGAGCACAGAGAGGGGCAGTGGTCCATGTTCCTGGGGCTTCAGTTAACCCTTCCTATCCCCCATCAGAAGACCACCAGGCAGCACTTCTCTGTCAAGTGAAGGGGTGGAACCAGGATAGCGAATACCCCTCCCCTTTGGCCTTCCTACTTCCTCTCCAGAACGGACTCATTCCAAAAAACAAACAAGCAAGCAAGCAAACAAACAAACCCCAAACAAAACAGACAAACTCATAGAGGCAGACAAGAGATTGGTGATTACCAGAGGGGCTGGGCAGGAAGTAGGGGGAGGATGAACCAGGTAAAGCGGTCGATTTGTCAGGTGATAGATAGAAACTAGAGTTTTGGTGGTGAACATGCTGTAGTGTATACAGATATTGAATTGTAATGGTGTACATCTGAAACTTAAATAATGTTATAAACCAATGTTATCTCAATTGAAAAAAAACATTTTGGGGACAATTAAGAAAAACACACAAAAAAAGTAGCCAGCCTTCCATTCATGCTAACTAGGTCCATTTCCTCTGGGTGGATTGCTTTGCACCCATGGGCCCCCCAGGTCTTCTCCCACGACAGGGTAAGGGGAAGTCCATGGTCTGGTCCTGTGGCCAGCCTGCCGTCTGTTGCCTCACCTCTCTGATGCAGTGTTCTCACCTGTGAAAGAAAGGACCAGCACTAGATGGTCTCTGGGCCTTCCAGCCCTCATGGAATCTTTGCCCCTTACCCTTTCTCCCCATTCCCACCCTCTTCCCCAACAATCAAGAGATGCCTCTTAGCTGAGAACACTTTGCTTGGGTCCCCAGGAAACAGGAGAGGGTTTTCCCTTCACATCCCTTTCCATATGGAGCCCTCTTGGGCTGGCTGCTGGCATTCCCGAGATCCCCGATTCTCTCAGCTCTGGAGAGTGAGGAGCCCTGCTCTCTGATGCCCCCTGGACACCCTGGGTGGGTCCTGAGTAAAACAGCGTCCCCTCCACTGGTCTCCGTTTGCCTAAGTGCATGACCTTTGCCATCAGGCAGGCACTGTCCATGGCTGGCCTATCCAGTGCTGTGACCTTGGGCAAGTCCTTTCCTGATCTGAGGCTGACGTTGCTAACCTCATAGGTTATAGCAAGATAAGGTGTCAGCACGTTCTTTGGTACACAGCAATGCTAAAAGGTCAGTGGCTGGTAAGGCTGTTTTGTGACCAGCCCTGCAGCCTGTAGCTCAGACAAAACAACCTCCCTCCAGGTTCCTCTACCCCAGATGCCTGGGACCTCTGGGGAACTTGTGGCCAAAAAGAAGGAGGGGTATTTATTTACACAATAAAATTCCCACCCTCAGCACTGTTCACATATGGGGGCTGGAAAGTCCTTTGCTGTGGAGACTGGTGGGTGTATTATGGGATGTTTAGCAGCATCTCTGTCCTCTACCCGCTAGATGCTAGTAGCAGCCCCCTCCAGGTTGTGACAAGAATGTTTCCAGACGTTGCCAAATATCTCTGGGGTTCCAGGAGGTGGGGAGCAAAATTGCCCTTCCTAGGTCCCTGGAGAAAGGTTGAGGCAGCAGACCAGTGGAAAGGGGGCTTCTAGTCATTCCTGAGTCCAGGTGAAGTTACACGGGGCCCCCGCATCTGCCTCATGTCCCCGTCCTGCAGGAGGCATTGCCCAGTACTGAGTAGTCAGTCTTGGCCTGCCTCCATAGAGCCTCATTAATCTCCTATTAATCACGTTAATGAGCAATTGGCCTATTCTCTTTCCACCCATTCTAGCCCTGCCCAGGGCCCAGGAACTAGTCACACCAAGTAATGAAAGGAATTCACATGGTCGGCCCCTTAGGCCACCAGTGAGCTGCACCGCCCCAGGCCCTGGCCTTCTGCCCTCTAGGTCCTGGCCCTCTCCGCCTGTGTGCCTGTGCCACTCCCCAGCAAGGGCAATGGCCAGTCCTGGCTTCCACTCCATTTGGCCCACCGAACAGTTACTGATGGCTGTGAAGCAGACACTGTGCCAGGCGCTGCAGAGGCAGGGGGGACTAAGGCAAAGCCCTTGTCTGATAGGTGGTGACTTTCCATGAGGAGACCGACAGTGAACTTACTGGAGTGAGCAATGGGGTGGTGACTGAGATACCTGGACCCCCAGCTCTGCCTCTCCTCATGGTCTGTCCTTCCTCCACCTTGGGTCCCAAGTATGGACAGCCTCTGGGCTAAGGCTTGCTTCAGGCAAAGGTTCAGGAGGGAGGGAAGGGAGAGGCAGGGGATCCTAGACACAAGGGGTCTGCATTTCTGTGTAGGGGTGGATGAGGGCTGAGGGAGGAGAGGGGAAAGGGTAGGGTGTCAAAGATCTCTCTTCAGTGCCTCTGGTTAGCCTAGACCTGTCTTTGTTCCTGGTGGGGCATGTCAGGTCAGTTCCTGGGAGCCGGTGTCTGTCTTGTCTGTCACTGCTCTGTCTGCTGTCTCCACATGCTGTGTTCTTTCTGGGCACCTGCAAATGCCCAGGTCTGCAGTGGTGGGCCGTGTGTGTGGGCTGCCTCTCCTTTGCTCTTTCAGCGGACCCCCTCAGGCAGCTCCACCTAGGGCAAAAAGCATGGCCCTGTATGTGCAAGCGGTGTGGCAAGCTGAGCTGGTGTGCTAGGCAGGAGACAGAAGGTAAACCTGGAGAAGAACTAGAATTTGAGTCTCCTGTACTGGGCACCCAATCTCCCCCTCCCTGTCCTGCCTATCCAGAACCCAGTCCTTCTAGAACCCCCCATCTGCTCCCCCAACCTCAGAACCCTGTTGAAGAAGGTCAGGAGTCTATCTCCCCAGTTCTTTGGCCCTCCCCCAGATCCCAGCCCTGGGGCAGGCACCCATGTTCCTGGCTCCCTGACGTAGCAGCTGCGGTCTCCCATTATCAGGGCAGCCCCAGTGGGGTGGGGCGGCTCTGTTTGTTTAAGGTTTAGGCCTGAGGGGCCCCAGCCCCCATGATGTCAAACTGGCTCCACATAAGAGGAGAGTGCCCCAGCTCTCAGCCTCAAGCAGCCGACCCACTGCCATGGCCATGGCCCGGCGAGCCCACTGCACCAGCTCTGACTTTGGCCTCCAGTACTGCCTCCTTTTCCTTCTAGCTGCTCAAGTAGCAGGTAAGGTGCCCTCAGAGGCAAAGGAGTCACCTTTACACAGGGGGATAGAAGGCAGAGAGGGGTTGTTTCTTAGCAATCAGAAATGAGAGCAGATGAATGTGTGGTGGGAAGGGGGTGGGGGTGAGCTGCTGCATACAGTTGTCCAGGGTGTACTGCTCAGGTGTGTCAGCTAAGGGCCATGCTGGCAATGAAATGCAGCCTATGCTTTGCTCCTTGCAGCCACGTAGAGGGGTTTTCTTCTAGTTTATACACAGACGCTGTGTGGGGAGGCAGTCCGGGGCGGGCAGCAGGGACCAGACATGCTCTGTTTTGTGAGGAACTCACAGGTGCTTAGGGTACTTCATCTCATTTCATCTCCTTATATCCCGTGAGGTGTTTAACAATATCCCCTTGGATGGTGAGGAGGGTGAGACTCAGAGAGGGTAAGGGTCTTGCCCACGCCATGGAGGCAAGCTGGCTTTGGCCACTCCACACACTGCCTGTTGCTCTTGGGGTATAGGGTGCATTCTCTCCTGAGAGTTCTGTTATTCGCTAACCTGGGCTCTGCCCTGACTCTGGCCCATTTAATTAATCCACATTTCTATAGAATGGGAAGCATGCTGCCTGGCCAATACGAATGGTTGTATTCATATTGTTGTATATGGAACATTTACTATGTGCTAGGCATTGTTCTAGGCACTTCACCCACGCTGGCTCATTGAACCATCATGGCAACTTGAAAAGGGTTCAAGTTGCAACTTGTTTTGTCCCCACTTGACACCTGGAAAATATCCCAGGGATTTGATGAGAAAATGAACATAGAAAAGTTTGATGAGCTAATAAGCAGACTCTACAAGATAAAGTTAAATCACCAAATTAGTTCACTTAGTTAAAAAATGGTTCTGTGACTAAACTCAGGGAAGGGAGATGCCAAACACAGAGGCAGTTTGACATGGACATGAGCAATTTGGAGGAAGGAGGGTCTTCACAAGGCAGACATGCAAAAAATAGACTCAGATAGACTCTCCCCATAGCGGACGGGGTCATCCATAGTAGTCACATTGCTGCTCCCAACTAGGGCCAGGAAAGCTGAGTCTGGCTGCCCTGGGCAGTGTTCGGGCGGGACAGGCAGCAAGTTCTTCCAAGTGTGTGTGACTGAGGGTGACATTAGCAGAATATTCTCCTTCCCTGAGATCAGGGTATTGGTGGGGCCAGAGTAGATGAGGCGGGAGTTGGAGGGTGGTGGGTAGTAGGGCAGGGCCTGAGGAGTCAGGTTGTGTCTGCTAAGTCTCAGCAGTACCTCCCGTCTGTGTCCTGACTTGATGGCTTCCTCCCACTTTGAGGGTCTGAAGACAGAGGCACCAGAACTGCCGCCAGCCCCGCCCCCCCGTCCCCTGCTTCGCACCCACCCCCCATCATATCCCTTTCCCTGGAGCTGATGGTGCCACCTGCAGCTATGCACCACCTGTCATACCTGTATGGGCAAAAGGGAATGAATCGATTCTACGCACGTTAACTTCTGAGGGATGTTTACTCTAGGGCACAGGATAGGCACAAGGCAGGTTCACAATCTGAATTCCAGAGCAGGACACTCTGGGTGGGTGGGTGTGGTCTGGGAGCTGGCCGGCAGGCATGGGCAGCTGGATGTTCAGATCCACAGAGTGGTGAGAGGCGGGAGGCTTAAGGCTGGGCTGGGGTGGAACTGCATTGTGAGCACATGACTGTCCAGCAGAGAGGGAGGCTTGGGAGGGAGGGGAGAGTGATGGCTGGATTCATTTATCTACAGGACCAGTCCATACTCAGATAACTGGACCTTACGACCCCAGGATCTGCATGGTGCAGCTATGGAGCCTTAGGGGCATCATCTTTGAGGGAGCACATGTACAGCTGGGCTCTTGGGGTCCTGGGGAGACTCCAAAATGGACCTTTTTCTACAGTAAATGATATTCCATTTAATTTCTATAACAAATATATATATATATATATACACACTCATTCTAGAAACTGAAAAATGGAAAAAATTAGGAAAAGAAAATCTCTCCTAATATCACGTGGGCAGCCATTTCAGTGTATTTCCCTTTAGTCTTTTTTCACGATGTCTATGTTTTAGGCCACATGTTGAAATTCTATAGACATTTTAACAAGCATTTAACCATATCATTGGTAGGACACCAAGAAACACCAGAAATGCTACTTAGGGGAGGCTGCTCTGATGGCAGCCTGTCTGCCTTCTTTTCAAGCAAGGGAATAAAGCAGATTGAATAGACCTTTGGGATTGTACAGTTTTGATGTTCTGAGATTTGTTTTCATTGTTTTATCCAGGCTAAGCACACATCTCCAGTGTCTTCTGCTAAAGCCAGATTTTCTTCTCCACCTAAACCTCAGTGACCAAAAAGATCCTCTACAGGCCACTACTGTAGTCAGTGAAATGAATCTCACAGTGAGAAATTCCTGGGGAAACAAAGTTGCTACCAATGGTAGATCTACTGGGGAGAAGAGATGGTTATATTTTCCTGGGAGTTAGTCTCTGATTTGTGTCATGGCTGGGAACACTGGGAACTCCAGGGAACACTGGAGCTTGATTCATTGTAAATGCAGTAGCCATTTTTGAGGGTTAGATTTCACAGGCAGTATTTACACAACTGTGTAGTGCGGATCTGAATTTTAAGATCTAGTTTTCTGAGTCTAGTATTCACCATGTGGCTCCTGTGGTTCAATGACAAACGGTGTCCCAGAACTGGTGGGCCAGAGGTCTTTCACCACCTTCCAACTCAGGGGCTCAGCACCTAACATAGCAGAGGTTATCTCTTGATCTTCCAACTTTGGAGCTTACAGCATGTCCCCCCCACCGCCCCCCCTTTAACGTGCATAGTGAAAGGTTGTTGGCAGGGCTTTTGAAGAGCTCATCAATCTCAAGATATTTTCTCATTCACCCATTCAACAAATATTTAAGAAGTGCCATTAATGTAATGGGCCAGACATTTTTCTGGGCTGGAGACAGCAATGAACAAATAAAAATCTCTGCCATTATGGGAATTAGATGATTTATTGTCTATTAGAAAGTGGTGAGTGCTATGTTGATAAGCCCCAGGGGAAGTGGTCAGGAAATGGCTCAGAGGTGCATAGAACAGGTGGGTCAGGAAATATCCCGGGCTGCAGCAGGCAGGAGGACTAGGCTGTGCCTCACGCTCCCCTGATACCAGGAGAAGAACAGGGCAAAGTGTGAAACTGTTTCAAAGACCGCAGTTCCGATTCAACACACGCTTTAAAGAGTCCTCTTCACTTAGATTCCCTCAGTCCTCACACTAAGCTGCTGCAGCTGGCATCACTGTTATAGACAGCTGTGGACATGGGGCTCAGAGCATTTCAGTGACCTGAGTAAGGATGCGAAGCTGGTGTGGAACTAGCCTGGACCCCAGTCCTGTCCTCTGGTTTCTTCAGGCAGTGGAGTTGCTACGCTATGTTGTGGCTCACTTGTTTATTCTCTGGCTGGGCATTTATTCACCCCTTATCACATTTAAAAGCATCTGGAGTGTAGGGAAAAGTCTGACTTTCCCAATTACTTAACGTCTCTGAACCCTTTCTCCTCACGGGTCAGACTGTAAGATCATACACTTGCCTCACAAGTTTGTGGTGAAGATGAAATAAACAAGTAGAAGAACAGCATCCTTCAGGGACTCCACAAATGTCTGTGTTCTCCCTGTCCAAAGGGTCTGGGCTGACCTACAGGCTGTGCAGTGCGGCCCTGGGGACTGGGAGCCCAGAATGTGTGTTCCATTCTGGTTTAACCTCTTACCTGCTGAGGGTCCTTGGGGTTCTCTGAAACTTGTTTTCTCATATATAAAAAGGGGAGAATAACAAAGAGCTCTCAACCTCAAAGGGTTGTTACGAACAGTAAATGAGTTTGTACACGTCCTTCTTTTCAGGACCTGCCTGTCTCACAGTCAATGTTCCTGGTTGACCATTGCTGTTGCAGGGATTTTGTGCATGTCACCATTTCTCCATGAAACTCTGGGCTATAAAATAAGGAAGCTGACAGCTTCTAATGTGCCTTGTGGGGAGCTGGAAAGTCAGTCACCATGGAGGAGAATCCAGAAAGGATTGTGAGGCAAGCAGTGGAGAGCCTGGCTGGAAAAGTGCCCAGTGAGTGAGAGAGCTACTACTGCAGAAGGAGTGGGAGAGCGGGGTGGGCACAGTGAAGGAGGTGCCTGGCACTTGAGCCCTCATCTCTCTCCCCAGTGCCCTGGCCTCAACTCCCTTCAGGGACTTGGGCTTTTCTATTACCTCCCCCTTCTTGTCCCACCCACATTTCTTTCAAGGACTGGTTCCCCAGCCCCCACTGTCCTTGTCAGCAGAGAGCTGGGTGGATTGTGGTTTCCTGTGATTGGGAATGGGTCCAGGTTCTGGTTTCCACCTTGAGCTAACAGAAACTGGAAATCTCAGTTATGTAACAACACTATCTCTCATTCTTTGGTGATCTCCTGGCTCTCACTCAGACATCTCCTCAGTCGTCCCATGGGTTGTTTCCCATGGAATTAAGGCCCATATCTGTTCATTGATAGAGGCGTTTTCCCTCACACCCTGTCCTTAAACATAATATCTCCCAGAATCCAGCTGCCTTGTTCACTCTTCTCAGGACCCCTACGCAGATATTTTTTCTTGTAAGAAGGACACCTTCATCTTTTCAAGGTGGCTTTAGCTGATTTTCCAAGAGGGGAATCTGTAGGGGAACAAGAGGGTTGAGTCATCTCATTTACTTCCCTTCACCCAGACCAAATTCCACCATCAAAACGAAAGTTTCCCATCCTCCATTCCTCTTCTTATCCTTCTCTTACTTATCACCTGTGTCCACTTACTAATTCTTATGGGAAGTTCTGCTAGAGGTCTGACTTCTGGAGCTGGAATGTTATGGAAAGGTGAAGATTCTGATACCTATTACCTTTCTTCTCAACTCTGCCATGGAAATGGAACTCCATTCCATAAGCATTATATAAATTCTAAAGGAGCACTTGCAGAGCAAAATGCCAGCCAGCATCTGCTCTCAAAAGTTACAGTTCCATAGGCAAGGAAGTGTGAAGTTGACAGGCACACAGACAGTTGTAATGTCAAATTGAAGAGAGCAGGAGAAAGTAACTAACAAAATAATTTTTGAGCAGTGAGGTGATGCTAGATCTTATTGGCTTAAAAAGATCAGGAAAGATGCCATAAAGATAGAAAGATCTAAAATTTAGAATTGAGGATTAAAAGTGGAGAAGGGGTGAGGTGACATTCTTGCTGAAGGCATAGCCTGATAAAAGGTTCAAAGAATGGAGATGAGAATGGGGATTAGATATTATAGTATTCTGAGGAGACTGGCTGGGGAGATGTATCTGGGGGTAATAAAGGGACCCCTAGAGATGAAGGTGGGCAGGGAAGGAGGGAAGACCACGGAAAAAAAAGTTTCTTACTTGACCCTCTGCTTCTACAGATGCTACCACAATTCAAGAACTTCAGAACCCTGGTGAATCCCCAACATCTGATCATTTATCTCCGCCTACTCCAAACGTTGTTTATAGTACTCCCTCTGACCACACTGCTCTTCATTTAGGACACAGCCCTCTTGGCCACCCTAAATCTACAGAAACCCATCAACCTAAACACCACTGCAATGCTACACACCATATTGGGCCGATTCACAAACATATAGATAACTCTAAAAGCTGTACAACTCATCATGAAGCCACTCCCACATCTAAACAAAACCCCAGAAATCAAGGAAAAGACCCCATTATCCGGAATGGACGCTCTGCTGACTCTAATAACACACATAAAAAATTATCTGATACAAAATATTCAACCACAAAACCCAAGAGTAAAACAACTTGTCATAAGTCCAAAATAAGCACTGCAACAGTAAAGGGAAATGCCTTCAAAACACCTTTGGAAACTACCATCATTACATTAGACAGTGAAAGCACCACAACTCTTTCCCACCACTCAGTTAAATCAGAGCTCAACAATAGACCCACATCTCCCTCAGAAGAAAGCACAACATATAAGGCATCATACAAGGCAACAAGAACCACGAGAAAGAAAAAAAAAGATCATACAGCAACTGCTAATTACAAAACTACAGTTGCCTCAGATAAGACACTGATAAAGACTAGAGAACAAACAAAAGAGACATCAAGAGCCACTAAAAAGAATAAACACACACCAGCAAAACCTACGTACCATGGACAAAAGACCATTTCAGCCCAGGTGAAGACTACAAGAGCCCCAGCAATGCTTACAGAACATAGACAACAGAGCACATCAGCCTATGAGAAGATCACAAATGATCTGGTAATGCCTACAAATCATGTACAACACAGCACATCAGTCCATAAGATCTCAAGAGCCTCAGAAATGACTACAAAACATGAACAGCACATATTGACCCATGAGAAGATCACAAAAGCCCTGGCAATGCCTACACACCATGGACAACACAGCACATCGGCCCATGAAAAGATCACAATAGTCCCAGAAATGCCTACAGACCGTGGACAACAGAGCACCTCGGCCCATGAAAAGATAACAATAGTCCCAGAAATGCCTACAGATCATGGACAACAGAGCACATCAGCTCATAAGTTCACAAGAGCCCCAGCAGTGCCTACTGAACATGGACAGCAGAGCACACTGGTTCAGGAGAAGTTCACAAGAGCCCCAGCAGTGCCTACAGATCATGGACAGCAGAACACACCGGCCCATGAAAAGATCACAATAGTCCCAGAAATGCCTACTGACCATGGACAACAGAGCACGCCGGTCCAGGAGAAGTTCACAAGAGCCCCAGCAGTGCCTACAGATCATGGACAGCAGAGCACATCGGCCCATGAAAAGATCACAATAGTCCCAGAAATGCCTACTGACCATGGACAACAGAGCACACCGGTCCAGGAGAAGTTCACAAGAGCCCCAGCAGTACCTACAGATCATGGACAGCAGAGCACACCGGCCCATGAAAAGATCACAATAGTCCCAGAAATGCCTACTGACCATGGACAACAGAGCACGCCGGTCCAGGAGAAGTTCACAAGAGCCCCAGCAGTGCCTACAGATCATGGACAGCAGAGCACATCGGCCCATGAAAAGATCACAATAGTCCCAGAAATGCCTACTGACCATGGACAACAGAGCACGCCGGTCCAGGAGAAGTTCACAAGAGCCCCGGCAGTGCCTACAGATCATGGACAGCAGAGCACATCGGCCCATGAAAAGATCACAATAGTCCCAGAAATGCCTACTGACCATGGACAACAGAGCACGCCGATCCAGGAGAAGTTCACAAGAGCCCCAGCAGTGCCTACAGATCATGGACAGCAGAGCACATCGGCCCATAAGAAGATCACAAGAAGCTCAAGTAAGACTACAGAACACCAATTAAAGACCACTGTGGCCACAGAGCAAACCATAGAAGCCTCAAGAAAGCCTATAGTAGACACAAAGAAAACCACATCTACCAAAGGGAAGACCAAACCACTTCCAGCAAAGCCTACAGAAAACCCAGCACGAAACACAGCTGGCACAGAGACTATAAGATCTCCAGTCAAGGTCACAGGAGACCAATCTATCACTACTTCCTCTCCTCATCCAAAGAGAACTGAGAATACCCCTCAAGTGCCCATTGGCTCTTTTACATTTTCCACATTCAGCATGGCATTGAGTTCTGTCATATCAGAAGTCCCAATCAACAAGAGCCATCCACACGAGAACAAAGATAGCTCACAAGGAGGTCTCCATGTTGGAGAGACAGGGAAGGATGATTCATTCCCTCCATGGGCCATAGTTGTTGTAGTCCTGGTGGCTGTGATTCTCCTCCTGGTATTCCTTGGCCTGATCTTCCTGGTAAGGAACAAGGATGCTCCAGGGTAATGGACCCATGGGATAGGGAGCTGAGGAGAGGTTATGGATCAGAACTAGAGGGAATAATGAGTCTAGCAGAAGAGGCATGGTGGGGAGTGACAACAGAGGGGCAGTAGTGGTGAAAGCTGTGGGAAAGACAATAGATGCATGGGACATGAAATGTAGAATTTGGGGGAAGGCAATGGTTGAGGAAAAAGGGCGTAGAGGATAGAAACTTTTTTAGAACAAGGAAAATAGGACGGAAGGAGGATGAAGAGTTCTGGGACTCTATATTGGATCAGGGGCTGGAATAAGAATCAAGTTTAAATGGAATCTTGGGAAAGAAGCAAGCTGAAGGTTTGGATCAGGGAATAGAAAAGGGCCTGAGATGTGGGTGTTGAGGAAGCAAATGACGTGACAGATAGTACTTATTTCTCCTTCCTCCCAATCCCAGCTCTCCCACATGATGCGAACACGCCGTGCACTGACCCACAGCACTGAGGACAATGATCCAGAGGATGATGGGGGCCCCAATTCTTACCCAGTCCACCTGATGGAGCAGCAGACACTTGGTGTAGGCCAGATCCCTTTCCCACGATGATTTTTCACAAAGCACCCACCTCCAGATCTTCCATGCCCTACCCCTTTCCTGAATGAGGAACTAAACTCACAATTCCTATTTCCTGGACTCTAGGAAGAGCAAAGTACTGACGGATAACAGCATCAACCCTTCATCTGCTGTGTTCTTTCTGTGACCTTGAAACTGGTCAAGGGATGAGGTGATAGCAAGAAGGATGTGAGTTTGGGAGACAGAAAAGAAAACCAATAATACAAGCAAGTGTTCTCTGTAGAAGATGATGGTCTGAGTATGAAAAGATGTGTGATGGACACTTGGGATGGGGACCAATACAGAACATTGATGCTGGGAGGGGCAGCTAATGGAAGTTTGGGAGCCTCAGAGGGCAATGCCCAGATCTGGCTTGTGAGGTAGGGTTACGAGAAGGGGGAGACTGAGGCCTATCTATATTATTTCCATCTACTGTTACTTAGAGTGTGTGTAAACAGGCTAGTCTCTGAATTCCTGGCGTTCTTCTCTTCCTCCTCTTCCTCCTTCTAATGTAAAAACAGGATCTGAGAGTAAAAAAAGATTTACTTCTTTCTCCATCCTCTCCATTCTCAGCAGAAACAAAAATTCCAGAAAAGATCATAAATATCTCTCACTGACATGGTTCTTTCCTCCTCTCAAATCCCTTAGTTTTTCTAAATGTCTATGTGGGCATCCTGCAGGTTTGGCTTACTGGTTGTGGATTAGCACACAGGGAGGGATTTTGCTTGGCCTGCAGTCTCATCCATTGATACCCATCCCAGACCTTCTCTGATGGAGTTCTCCACTCAGCATTTTATTTTTCTGCCTCTTCCACCAAAGCCACTCACCAGCCTTCTCTACTGCCCCATCCTCTTTCTTCACATCTTCATCCCAGATTCCGATTCCTGCCTTAGTAAGCATTTCACCTATACATATGTTTTCTAGTTTTTTTCCTCCAACTTATTAAAGCCCTCTTAAAGCAAAGGTGGAAGGGGACGGTTGACAGATGACAGATAACTTCCTTGTAGCTATTGGTCTTTTTATAATAAAGTGTAAGATATTTACAAAGTAAGGGCATCATAGTTATTGGACCATCAGCTGGAAGAAAGTCCTGACTGGTGTTCCTGGCCCTGGCTATAATCTTGCAGATGACCTTGAGCAGGACTGGCTAAAGGACAGGACTGAAAAATCTTTGGAGAATGAAGCAAGTGGAGGTTGAATTTCTATTGCTCCTAAAATGGCTCACTCCTGGCTTTAGATGAGCTGGGCTGAGTTCATGCTGAGCTCAATTATATGGTGACAAAATGAGGAAAAAACTTGTTATTTAATAAGCAAGTATTTCTAAGTACATATTATACATTCTGTTGAAGATAAAGAACTTTAAGACATAGTTCCCACGTGAGACATAAATACAGGAAAATTAAAATTAATTCAGTAAGTGCTATAACAAGGTAGTACTACACAGAATAAAACAAGACTCTAATGAATGAAACCCAATATTTATGGGCATCTGCCATATCTAACATATATGTCAGCCCTGCTCCAAACCCATTCCGTGCCCAAATGTCAGTCTCAGCAGAACTGTCACCCATCCTCCATGGAGCCTAGGCCTTACTCTCACCAGAATGTCTTTGCTGATCAGAAAGGCCCCTGGTTTGCCATAGGCCTTCCAACCGTAACTCCACCCGGCATCAAATAGGGCCATGGGCTGCTCTTCACTACCTTTGGCGTCCCACTTGTGGACCACTGGCAGCCTATCCTGATCAGTAATCCTAATCCAGACACTCATGAGACTGAATAGTCTGCCAGAGCTCAGCTCTGGGCTGGAGGGCCTGAGCCTGAGGGTCTCTCTGTTTCCCACCAGACACCCACTCTGCTTGGGTCGCAGAAAGGAGGCATGCCAGATGCCAGAGAGACCCCAGATCTAGGTCCCTGGAGAGAGCTGTGAGACAGAGAGGGCCACCTGCATTCTGGGAGAGAGCTGGAGTGCCTGAGAAAAAGGAGCAGGATGCCTCATTTGTAGTCGTCTGGACAGATGGTGATGTAGCATGTGGCAGCTGCTAGGACAGGAGTGTCACTAGTCCTGGGAGGAAAGCAGATGCCCCTTAACCCCAGCCTCTAACCACTGAATTTGCCTACCCTGAACCCTAATTTTAAAAGCCAAAACAAAATAAAGCAAAACACCTTTGCCCTTGCCAAGGCACCAACAAGGAGCACTGGGGTCAAAGGGTGTGTGATGGGAGAGAGGGAAGGTTTTTCATTTCTAGGGCAAACGGGGCAAGAGGGCGATTCTTTCTTCCCACTTCTCTCTGTAGCTAATGATCACTTTGCAATCTAGGGGAAACCCTTTACCAAACTCCTGGGCTGGGCTCTCCTTTGGCAAAAGCATTTCATGAGTGGCTCTCTCCTCACGCTTATGGCGCCCTCGTCCCTGGGGAGAGCGCCTCCCGGGAGCTGGTAAGCAAGACCCCGGAGGCTAGGTGGCCACGGACAAGCACAGAGGGGCGGGGCCACGTAAGCCCCGTTCTCATTTGCTCAGCCTTCCTCCTTCCGCCCCGGGGCTCCACTGGCCAGGACTCCTGGGGCTAGCTCACTGACAGAGTGTTCCGAGTCTCCGGCGAGTGGGCGTTGCCCTAATCAGGCTGCTGGGAAGAAGCCGCAGACAGGGATCCTGCCGTTCCCCTCGCCACCCCCTCCTCCGGCCCCGCCCTCCAGACTGCCCGCAGCTAGGCTTCCACCACCCCGCAGCTGGCAGAGCTCTCGAGTTGTGCTGCTTCCCTGCACACAGCCCCATCCCGCAGTCAGCCTGCCACTTCCTCCTGGGGCTTGTTTCAAATGCGCGAAAAATAGACTCCGTTCAAATCCTCTCGGCCCCTCTGGAACACAGTTTATTTTCTCCCAAACTCAATTTCACGTTGTTCCTTAGCGACACCAGGTTCCACGTGCCGGTGGCAGCATGGCCTCGATGACTGGGATGTTACAGCACCACCGAAGAAACAAACTGCAGTTGAGATTTGTGCCAGAGTGCATCCAGCACTTCCTCCAGACTCAGGTTTCCCCTTTCAGGCCTTTGGGTTTGGGCTCAGAGCCTTAATCTTCTGGCTGGACAGTCAGTATCTTGGACCAGGTCTTTCCTGCCAGCTAGCCTCTGTCACCTCTGTGGCCTCCCAAAACATTTGAACTGGCCTGGCAGGTTCTCCATTCTCCCTCAGAGGGCCCAGTCCCCTTGTAGCTAACTGCCAGCTCTCACTACCCAGCTGCCCTGGACAGCACATGTTGACACAAGGACAAGACCCAAGGCTTTGGGACTCTGTCACCTCCATTTCTTTCTCCTCTGCCTCCCAGAAAAGCCTCTGTCCCAGAAATGAGATATCACAAGAGAAAGGAAGTTATTTTTGCTGACCTCTGGCTTCAGGGTGGGTCTCTCCTCCTCTGATAGCTTCTCTCCCCTGGAGAGGGAGGGCCCAGAAGTCATAGCCTCCCCTGTCCAGTGGCAACTATAAATGCCACAGCTCTGGCCATGTGAGACAACGAAGTAATCCAGACATATTGTGGGGGAAACTCTCAGAATCCAGGAGTCCAGCTATCCCACGGCCCACTGTACTACCTCCAGGAAACCTGCCCCATCTGGTCTTACTCCTCCCAGAACCCTGGCCCTGGCCAGTTTTTAGTTCTTCCTAAAAGTTCATGTCCCACCAAGTCCCCAGGCACCAATTGCCTCTGCAGCCCATATCCACTCTGGACCTCAGACATTTTGATGGCAACTTTCCTGTGGATTATTTAAGGGTGAGGACAGGAAAACTACCTCCTGCTTCCTGCGTTCAGGTGCTGCTTTGCTTTGGAATCCCAGACCTGATAAGTGTCCATCGATCACAGAGGACAGGGAGGCTATAAAAAGTCAGAAGGGGAGGAGGGTTCCTGTCCCAGGTACTTGGTTTGCATAGTTCCTTTCTTTTGCTGGAAGAATGGGACTCTGCAAGAACTCTTTGCATAGAACTCTGCCTTGAATTCACCTTTATCCTCCCACTCCAACTCTCAGCTCTTCAGCATGAGCACAAATAGCAGCTGCTTTAATTTCCCTTAGAATCCCGGAGGGAAATGGAGTGTAATAACTACCTGATAAATGTTTTGTATCTAACTTGAAAATCTTAGTTTCAATATCATCCTTAATTCCTTATCAGAGCTAGGTTCTGAGTCTAAATAAAGCCCAGACGTATGAAAATATCCCTTCCAGAAATACTGCCTCAATTTAAAATCTAGGTCAGTTCTCGTAGTCCCCAGACAGAGACAAACAAGGGGCTGCAGAGAGCTCAGAGCTGTGGGGCTTGTGAGTGAAATCAGACCGAAGAGAAGCAAAGCCTGAGCTCATCTGTTCCAGCCATTGCACCTCACTTCTAGACTCCTGTAGCATTTCTCTTCTTAATTATTAAAACCCAATGTCAAACAACTTATAAAGCCCCTTTACTTGTGCTGCCTCACGGCATACCAAAGAGGGAGTGGGAAGAGTGAGTGTGGAATTGGCAGAACAGGATTTGGTGTGGTGTTTTCTGTTTCCTTCGATGCTTTGGTGCTCCCTCTGCTCCCTCCAATGACTGTCCCCTGGAAACTACTGTCTTGTGCCCCCTGCTCTCTCCCTCCTCCTGCCTCTCTGCAAGCCCATTTATATTTTTGCTGCAGGTGACTTCTAGACTTGTCTCTAGCCTTGGTTTCTCTGAAATCCAGTCCTATATTTTCAGGGTTTTTTTCTCTTGTAACATTGTCACTTGGATATTGCATCATATTGACAATGACATTCACATGTTTATTACACAAACATTTTTGGAACATCTGTTCAGTGCTAGATCTGAAAATATGTCAAGGAATTAAGTAGCAACAGGCTGCCTTTAGGAACTTAGTCTACTGGGGAAGGCAGATGTGACACAAAGAATGAAACATAAACAAAGAAGTTACAAGTTTGCAAAACTGCCACAGGCTCTGTCTCATCTTCCACCAGCAGGTCATATAGTGCCCCTCCT